AGCGAGTGTCAGCAGTGCCGGGCAGCACACCGGGGGCCAGGGCGTGCCCCGTGCGGCCTGTGAGTGTGTCCCTGTCGCTGCTGCAGCAGTGTCATCGTGGGCTCTAGTGCACTTCATACGAGCAGCGGGGACACGGGACCTGTGCCAAGAGGTGGGCAGGAAGCGTCACACAGCGCCCTTTGAGCGCACCAGAGAGTGGGCTGAGCCTTGGCTTTTCAGAGTGGTCTCTGTGTACTCGGAAGCACCTCAGGGCGTGCGTCCAGAAGCAGACTGTAGGTGCACACCCACCCCTGTGTAGCTTCAGAGCTTTGCTAAGCTCCCTGGTCCCAGGCGCTCATTTTTCTCATTTGTGATTTAGACTTCAGAGGACTAAGGAGTCAGGTTCTGTGGTGGTTGAGCAGGGAATTACTTTTAGCTCTGCACAGTGGGAAGCATCAGCCCTGAGAAAGGCAGGGTGGGGTGGGGCAGCGCAGCGCAGTGTAGCCCTGTGTGTGTGTGGCCCAGGCCAAACCACGGAGAGTGCATGACCAGTCTCACTCACTGGGTCCCCTGCTTACCCCGGGCCTGCTGTGTAGGAATCCTCAGGCATCACTGCGTATCTAAGTAATAGTTCTTAAAAAGGAAGGCTCAAGTCTTCTTGTCTTTGCATTAAACCATTCGTGGTCCATGTCTGGTTTCTGTTCCAGACTTTGTTACTTTCTGCCAAGTCCTTCACTTCTCTGACCCCTCGTTGAAAGGTGAGGCAGTGACTCTTCCTTACTGGCTGAGGTGGCTTCTGAGGGGCGGTGTTGTGGCACACAGAGAATTGATGTGCTGATGTTGGAACTGCTCAGCACATCAAATTATTTGCCGCATAAAGAGCGATTCTCCCACCACCCCGTTCTTCCTAGCACTGCTCACAGCGGCACTCTGGAGGTGCCGTTGGCAGTTCTCGCTGCGCACCGTGTGTCTGAAGGTTGAGATCATCTTCTCCTCCAGGACTGATGAGGGCTGCAGGCTGAGAAGTGAAATCCTGTGGCTTCTACTGGCCCTCTGGCCTGGCGTCCTGCCTTTCTGGCTGCCTGTTGTTCAAGCCCACGGTCCCAGTGGCCTCTGGGAACCAGAAAGCCTGATTCAGTAAGAAGAGGTTCACTGGTAAAGAGACATTTTGAGAAAAGGAGATAATACAGAAAAAACAGTCACTCCAAGTGAATGAACCTAGCCCCTTGACCTAGAGAGGAGTCCAGTTTGGTCTGGGCTGCCGGGCCTGTCCACCCTCTGGAGGCCCACGTGTCAGGTGGCCCACGCCAGGGCTTCCAGATCAAGAAAGGTGCTGCCAGGCCACCCAGCCTTCGCCTTCCCTCAGTCCTTTGCGGGCTGGGCTGACCACAGGGCCAGTCAGTGAGCGGAGCTGGCCGAGGTGGATGCCACTCCTCTGCTGTCCTTGTCAGGTGCCAGCCACCTCCCGCTGTGCAGGGAGAGGCCCTCTGTGGCCGTGTGTCTGTGGCAGGTCTGGGGCAGGAATGTCCTCAGGTCTGCTCTGCAGAGGCCACGTGGCTTAGTGCCCAGGGGCTGGGATCTGTTGTTAGCCAGGGTGGGGCTGCATTTCCAAGTTAGGGAAACTCTGAGCAAGTTGTTTGATCTGTCCAGGGCTCTGTGTATAAAGATGATGTTAATAGCTACTGTCAGGGTGACGAAATGCACCATGCCCATGAGCAGTCCTGGGACACTGTGAGAATCTCGGCCACACTTTCACAGGCCGACTCAGCCCGCTGCTTTCCCGCAGCCTGTGAGAAATGCACACACCTTCTTACAGGTGGCACCTGGGATACAGGTCCACCCCTGCTCGGTGTAAGCGTGGCACTCACTGCCCTGGTCGGGTCTCTGCTGCCTGAGCAGAGGCCGTGGCGGTAGACTATGGCCTGCCCTCTCTCCCTGTCGCTGGACACTGTCACCTGCTGCACGGTGGTGGCGTCCAGAGACCAAGCCTCTGTTGCAGCTCTCCCTGCACAGTGGGTACCGTGGTACTCAGCAAAGCCCGTGTCTTTTTTTTCTCAGTTGGTTCCAGATTCTGAAGAGAGAAGCAGCATTCTTTTCTTAAGCCCCTCCAAGGGCAGCTGCACTGGAAGTAGCTGTCTCAGCACCACAGGATACAGGCTTTATCTCAGGCACTGATGTGACCACAGACTGAGGAACACGGGCCCAGTGTCTCTGCCCAGTGTGTTCCTGCAGATTTACAGAGTGTAGCTTCTGCATCCTGGCTCTAGGAACGGGACAGAGAGGACAGAGCTGGGAGTCTCAGTTAGCGCTGCTTCCTGGGAGGCCCAGGGAGGCCCCAGCCCGCTATAACCCGACAGTGGTTGTGTTAGGGACCTGCCACCTGCAACGCACAGACCTGTGGCTGCCAGAAAGGACTGGGTTTGGGAGAGGGGTGCAGGGCTGATTATGGCCTGGGGACTGTGCTGGGGGGCGGATGGATGCACAGCAGCACCTCAAGGTGGAAGCTGCTCTGGCGGGCTCTGGTCCCTGCCCAGGGTGACAGCCTGTCTGATTTGCTGCCGGGCAGACTGGCTCCACTGGCTGACTTAGGCTGTGGCCTCCTCAGCTCCTCCCTGTGGGTTCCCTGAATATAGGAACCACACACATTCCCTAACTCTGTACAGTTAAAGAAAAAGCCGAGGCTGGGGTCTTGACAGGGAGGGCACTGTTGTGGGGCAGCCGGACGCTGGCAGGTGTCTGTAGTGTGGGTGGCCAGACGGTAACGGGCACTGAGGGCTGTGGGTGGGCAGGCTGGGTCTGCTGGCCTGGCCAGGACGACGTCAGGGCCTTGGCAACTGTGGCTGCAGTGTGGGGTGGGGTGGGGACGGAGGGGACAGGGCGCGTGGCTGGCCCTGCTGCCAGCAGAGAGCACGGCCAGTCGCGGGAGGGGCTGGGGCTGGCAGGCCAGAGAAGTTCATGCCAGGGTGTCCGTGGGGAGCCCCTGCGGTCATCCGTGGAGGGAGCTGCAGACGTGGCCCTGTGGGGGCCTTCGTGGGGCAGGGGGGCCCGTGGTGCGGGGCACTGCATGGATGCGTGGTTTCTGCAGGGGATAGGTGTGCAGTGCCCTGCACCCCTGCGTCCCGAGAGTGTGCGCTGAGGCGGTGGCGATGGGAGCAGCAGGGCTGCGGCGTCCCCTGCAGACAGGTTGGAGGAACGTCCGACAGAGCCCTTGGTCCGCCCACCCCAGAGGGGCGCGCCAGCGGAAAGCGTGAGCCGTCACTCCCGGGGGGGTAGGACTGCCACTGTGTTGCGTCGGGTGGACGCTGCCGCTGGCCCAGTGCCGAGCGGGTGCTTCGCGGGTGGGGAGCTTCTGGCGGGGCGGCTGTACGGGACCCGCCTTTGAGGGGCCCGGGCGAGTCTCACGGGGAGCAGGAAGGAAAGGTGGTCTCGCCTCCCTCCCCGTCGGGTCGGTCTCCTGGCGGCCAGGCCCGACTTTCATCGTCATGCTTCCTCCAGGGCTCTGCACATCCGCGTTCCACCTGTTTATTACTGCTGAGCTCTTATTCAAATTGCTTTTGGAAAAAAAGCCATTGTTCTAGAAGGGAGGTGAGGTCCCCGCCGTGGGCTGTACTTGGGCGCTGCTGTGGGCCTCGCCGGGGGCCCTGCGCAGGGCGCTCACATCCTTCACGTGGCCGCGTCCTGCACCGCCGCCACCACAGTGCTTTCCCTCCCACTGCGCTGTACATGTTCGGGTGGCCTAGACCCCGGTGTGGGAGGCCAAGCACGGACGCTCTGGGTCACTGCCCTGATTCCCGTGTCCCTCTCCTCGCGGGGGCCTTGGTCATCAGCTGAGGGGTGGGCACCTTTCAGGCCTCTTTCCTGCAGTAATGTTTTGTTGGGTCTGTTACGGTTTCTAACGTAAGTGGGAACATATTTTGTTATTTAAAAAAGCATAAATCTTTTGAAATCAATTTAGTAAGTGAAAGCAGCAGTACCTACTCTTGGTTTAAAGAACCACAGTGCAGTCCCCCGGCACAGGGGATGGTGGGGTTTGGGGGCGGCGTGGTCTGCCCTCCTCCGGAGTCAGCAGTGTGCAGTCATCGAGTGTGAGTGTGCGCGCTTCCATGTGTAGATGTGGGCGTGGATGTAGAGACGCCTCAGTAGAGGTGTAGGTATGTGAAACGCATCGCAGCAGAGGGGCAGTTCAAGGCAGAGCTGGCCGTGGCTCTCCCCTCAGTGTAGGAGGCCGTGCTCCCGGGAGAGAGGCCACACGCCCCGTGGAGGGCACCGTGTGAGCTGTATCTCACTCCCCCTGCAGCGCTGTTTTCTCCCCTCCCCTATCTCATCAGTGGTCTGCTGACCCTCCTTAGTACTGGGCACTGGGGTGGCCCCACGGTCTGCCCGGTGGCACAGCGGGAGGTGGCCTCGTGGGCATGTGTGGCTCCTGCTAGAGCCAGGCTTTCTGCCCAGGCCTGGTGCCATGACTCGTGGCTCACTGTGCTGCTCACAGCCCCTCGCCAGTACCCGACAGGGCTGGGGCCGCCCGGAGTGCCGTGGGAGGAGACCCATTACTGCTGCTTACCCTGCCGGCAGGTGGCCTTTCACTGTTGCCCCTGGCCTGGGCTGCAGGTGTTCATTTGACATCTGGATATTGAGTGAGGGAGAAAGGAACAGGGATGCATGCAGGGACACAGGCTGCGCTGGGCCGTGGTGGGGAGCCGGGATCGCGTGGGGAAGGTCGCTGGCAGCAGGGGGTTCTGTGGGGGATGCGGCTGGGGCTGTGAGCGGAGGTGGGAGGACTGGGCAGCTTCAGCCTCTCAGATAACATTTCCTGTGGCCTCTGCCTCACTGCACCCTTCATCTCGTCTTCTTATCTAAATAGTCCAGGAAGAAAATAACCACAACACACTGGCATTTGCCCAAGAGGGCAGGGCCCTTGCCCATTTCTGGCTGGGCTGCTCTCTGTTCAGGGCCACAGAAAGTAATACCAACTATGCTTTTTTGATGAAGCCCTCTCCTCCCTTTTGCCTTTTTATTTCCAGGCAATGCTCAAGTAGACAAGTTGGAGGACTTCATCAACAACATTAACAGCGCCTTGGAGTCCTTGTATATTGAGATAAAGAAGGGAGTCACAGAAGATGACGGGAGACCCTTCTATGCGCTGGTGAGTGCACACAGCGCCCTCTAGTGGCGCTGTGAGGAACTGGAGCAGCAGCCCTGGACAGCGGAGGAGGCCTTGCCTGATTCAGGCCCTGGGGGTGAGGGGCAGCCAGCCCAGAATCAAAATATGGGCTGATCGTTGTGCTGACTTATTTTTTAGGTGAATCTTGCTACAACTCCAGTTTCCAAAATGTCCACGGATTTTGCAGAGAATGAACTGGATCTCTTCAGAAAGGCTGTAAGTAGTGGAGTAAGTCCCACCCTGGATTCTTAGGGGAAACTTCTGTCTGTAGCGTAGATGGAAACCGCCGTCTTCGAGGGTCCCTGGGAGATGCGGGCCGTCACAGCTTCTGGGATGGCGTGCTGGCCCAGGTTCGAGCCCTGCCCGGCCAGGTGAGCGACACTGCCTGGTTGCCCAGAATGCCTGCAGGGAAGCAGCACGTCGCCCGGAGCTGTCAGGGGGCCCGGCTCTGAGGCTGCTGTGAACACAGTGCCACCGCTTGCAGTTGAGTGGCCCTGCTGTGCCGGGCCTCGGGTGCTCGGTCAGCACCTGGGTGAGCACGGCACTGGCGACCACTGAGGGGGTGCTCAGACCCTGCTCCTCCCAGCCTCTGCTGGCTGTGTGGAAGCCGAGTCTCTGGACCAGCCCCGTTATTTAAAGACTCCTCAAGGCCGTCAGCGGCCTGCTTGAGAACCAGGCTGGGTGAGGGGTGCACACATGCGGCTGCAGGAAGCCACCTTCCCGCTGGCCTCGCCCTGCTCTGCCTGGCTGCGTCTCCATGGTCCCTCCTGGCCCATCCAGCTCTGCTCCTCTGCATTTCATCTCTCACCTTCTCTCCCCAGGTGGGGTGGGCAAGAGGGGGCCGAGCCCTTCTTCGTTTTGGGCACTGAGATGACTTCTCTGAGTCCGTGGGACAGGGCACGCTGTGGCCCTGCTGCACTTCATGAAATTGTCTCCCTAAAGGGCAGAACTAGGCTGCAAGGGCCTGGGGTGCATCCCTGCCAGAACTGGGCTGATGTCTTGAAAGCCACATCTGCAGATGTAAGAGATGAACTTGGGCCCTGGCCTCTCTTTCAGTTGGAGCTGATTGTTGATTCAGAAACTGGCTTTGCATCTTCCACAAACATTTTGAACCTGGTCGATCAACTGAAAGGCAAGAAGATGAAGAAGAAGGAAGCTGAGCAAGTGCTGCAGAAGTTCGTGCAGAGCAAGTGGCTGATCGAGGTACTGTCGGGGTCCTCCCCAGCCTGGCTCACATGCACTGGTCCCCAGCGGTGGCTGTTGAGCCAGGCCCCTCATCCCCTCTGTGGCCCTGTGAGGAGGACCTGGATCTGTCCGAGGGGCAGGCCCCAGCCGGAAGTGGCAGAGCTGGGAGCTGCACCCGCTTTTCTTGCTCCTGGCTCCCTTAAGCCTCGGGTCTAGACTGTGAAGCAGGCTAGGTCAGTGCCTGACCTGGGTCTCGGCCCGCTGGGAGACGTGGCAGAAATAGAATCCTGGGGTGCCTCCTGGGGTGGGGAGCGGGAACGAGACCGTCGTGAGGCATTTAGTGCCAGGCCCCCGGCACACAGAGCAGGCCTGCCTCCCTGCTGTTGCCATTGTGGTGTCATGCCTGCGTTCTGTGGTGTAGGGCTGGAGGGGACGCAGAAGCACAGGCTGCTGAGCAGGCCTGCTGGAAGCAGCCAGAGGGCTTTGCTCTCTCCAGGAAGGCAGCACTGTTTCCCAGAAACCCAGGCCAGGCTCAGTGCAGGCCCAGTCCGCCTCACTGTGCCCTTCCAGGGCACGCATGTGTTTGTGGGATGGGCCATGTGGGCCCTGGCTTCTTCCTGGGCCTCGGACCTGGGGCTGAGGCTGCTGCTTGTGGCCCCAGCAGCCCTTTGGTCCCCTCCAGAGGAGGTGGTCTCTGGCTTGTCTCTGGTGCTCTCAGCTGCTCCCTTGTAGGTGGGCGGGCCGCCCCTAGAGTCTGCTCTGAATTCTGGTCCCGGATGCCTGCTGGGCAGAAGGGGCAGGAAAGGTCTCAGCGTGGGCAGGGCTGGGGGCTTGGCACGTGTGTCATGTCCATGAGAGCTGCACTGCCCTGTGAGGGGCCCGTGAGCCTGGGTTTAGCTAACTGATCTCAGCGGTCTGGCTACACTGGCGCCCCATGGGTAGCACAGCCTGTGCTCAGGCTTTGGCTTGGGGACTTGGTAATAGGGCGTGCTCTCAGGCAGCTCAGGTCAGGGCAGACCTGTGGTCTCCCTGTGGTGCACTGTCCCCTGGGCCAAGCTTCTTAGGGACAGGCTATGACTTCATGATGGCCCCCGTTGCGGCACATGCCTGGCACCTGTGCGTGCTGCATAAGGCTTGTGGAGTGGGCAACTGGAGAGGTGGATGAGTGGCAGAAGAAACACTTGGTCATGACAGGAAGATCTCCCTTGGCCCAGCCCTTTGGTTCCCAGGCAGGCTGGGGCCAGAGAGGAAAAGCCACCTCTGGGGTCTGGGCCTGGGCTTCGGATGCAGGCCTGTCCTCCCTGTGCTTTCCTCGGTGCCTCGGAGAGACTGCAGGGTGACGCTAAGCCCGCAAGAGGTGAGCTGCTGGATGGGGAGCCCTGCAGGCCCGGGCGTGCTGTGGTCTCCGCCCTGCGCCTCCTCAGGCCCTGGCAGCGCTCACGGGACTGCTCTTGCTTGCTGTTTGGCCCCTGAAGAGCTGTACAAGCCTGGGGACAGGCGACCTGTTCCAGGCCAGGGTTGCTGGTTCTGTGGAGACCCTGCTGAGGGCCGAGGGCCGTGTTTCAGTCTCAGAGACGAAGCTTTCCAGTCACTGGTGCTGCTGACTGCAGGGTCTCAAGCGGAACCTCAGCTCTTCTCAGTTGTGAAGGGGAGGAGCGCCTGGACCAGCGGGGTAGGCTTCCTTCTTCAGCGGCACCGTCTCCTGGCCAGGCCTGGGCCCCCACCCCTGCTAATCCCCACGCTGGCTCCTCCTTGCTCCCCACCACGGAAGGGGATTGGATGTAGCAAAAATGCTTAATAGGCTCATGTCCCAACTTGGAAAGTTCCTGTGGCACCTGCTCCGTCCTCCTGGCTCTGCCTCCTCCTGGTGACAGGCAGAGTGGCTGCCACACAGGCAGGGGCTCCTCTGGTCCCCTGAGGTCTCAGGGAGTTTCGTTGTGCCTAGACATGCGAAGCAGGAGACGCGGCTTCCTTCGGAGGCAGGCCCTGCCACACACGCCGGGATGGGGCTGGCCCTGTCCTCTCTGACGCCTTTGAGCTTCATCTGTAGAGTGACATGGCCAGGCGTGAGCTCAGCCCCGTGGAGGTCCCAGTGGCAGTGCTGCTTCCCAGCAGTGAAGTGGGTGACGGGAGGGAGTGGGGCACCGCACCTGGCAGACTGGAGCCTGTGTCCTCCCCGCTGGAGGTCTGGGACAGTGTTTTGGTTTTGGGGCGCCGCTGGAGATGGAGGAGGGATCCATCTGTCAGACACAGCACGGTGCTGAGAAGACTCGGGGGCACGGGGACCTTCACCTCCACTGGCTTTTGGGTCTTTCCCTGGGTTTTCCCTGCTTGAGGCTCTTTCACGGGGGCATCGCTGCCGCTGGCTGGCCAGGAGCATCCTGACCCTGTGTCTTCGGGGCCTTGGGCTGTGGGCTGCAGGGGCCAGGCCCGGAGCTGGACAGGCCTGCTGAGGACGCCGCCGCACACTGTCCCTGCAGAAGGAAGGGGAGTTCACCCTGCACGGCAGGGCCATCCTGGAGATGGAGCAGTACATCCGGGAGACCTACCCTGACTCCGTGAAGGTCTGCAACATCTGCCACGGCCTCCTCATCCAGGTGCGGCGGGGTGGGCCCTGCACGGCCCTTCCTGGGGCCCTTACTCTCCCATGCTGTCCACGGGAATGCAGCCCTTTGCCTCTCTCAGGTCTAGTCCCAGGGCTCATCCTCATTTCAGTCTTCTCCAGAAAGCTCTCATAAGTCCCGTGTAACTGGTATTAGCTTGGCAGTTTTGTGACGAATGTCTTCCTGTGTGGATCCATTTTTCTGAGTCACACTGTGTGCTTTGCAGGCCTCACACCCGTTGAGCTAGTGCTGGGTGTTGTTTCCTTCTTTTTAGTTTTATCTTTATGTGACAGCAATCTCTCTGCCCGTTATCCGCGGGCACCCAGGGGTACGTCCACGCCAGAGTCCTGGAAGTGCACGCTCTGTTTGTTAAGCTCGTGGTTCCTGTCGCCGTTGCCTCCTCCTGAGCTGTGGCCATCTGTGCTCCTGGACCTGTGCGCAGGGAGCCTGAGAGCCGGGGCCACCTGTAGTCCTCACTGCTGCTACCTGCATTTAGCCACACAGAGTTCTCCTGGTGCCGCTGCAATGCTGAGCCATAGCCATAGTCCTTTGTATGCTTTATTTTGAGACGGTCTTGTTGAGTTGCTGAGGTACCTTGGACTTGTGATCTCCCTGCCCCGGCCTCCCAAGGAGCTGGGACTGCAGGTGTGCACACCGTGTTCACTGCGTGTGCTCGGAGCACCTGGGACTGAGCGGCATTCACGCGGGTCTGGAGACTGGACTACAGAGCCTGCCGGCCGTCTCTGCGGCTTCCCTGACGGTTGGGAAGCTCCCCTCAGGCTGTGTGCGAGCCCCTGTTGCCTTCTTTCAGGGTCAGAGCTGCGAGACCTGTGGCATCAGGATGCACCTGCCCTGCGTGGCCAAGTACTTCCAGTCGAACCCTGACCCGCACTGCCCGCACTGTAATGACTTCTGGCCGCATGAGGTTCCAGGTGCCTGTGGGGACCGGGTGGCGGGATGGACAGGCCGGGGCTGGTGACAGGCTGGCTTGCCCCGGGCCGAGGCTTCGGGTCTCTGAGTAAGGCTCTGCCAGCCCTCAGGACGGGGCGCGAGGCTGTGTGCGCGTGCGCGCGGCTCCTCAGTTTCTTCCGCAGAGAGCAGGGCTGGCAGGGGGGGAGTGACAGCAACAGGGTGGAGCCCGCAGCCTGGGAAGTGGCTGTAGATGCCAGCGGGCGTCCCTCGGGGCCAGCCCTGCTGCTCACTGTCTTCCTGCTTGTTCTCTGCAGAAGTCTTCGACCCCGAGAAGGAGAGGGAGGCTGCTGTCTCCAAGGCCAGCCGCAAGTCCTTGCGGTCCCGGCAGCATTAGGCCGTGTGCCTGTGTGAGGGTGCACGTCCCTCCAGATGCCCGCATGGGGTGGGCACGCTGCGCACCCCCGCCCCCCAGTCTGTGTTCCCGAGGACAGGTTTGGAATAAAGCCATGCCGAGGGGTTGCTGGGTGCAGGCTTGCATCTGGCCGCCTTCTCGGGAACAGAAGTCTAACTGAATCCTCGGCTTGGCTTCCAGCTTGGAAGCTAGCAGGCTGCTCCCCTGTGACCTCGTTAGAGGGCTTTGGCCGCAGTCCCGGCGTTGGTCAGTGGTCCCGGCAGGACTTGGTGTCCCTGGCTCCCCATGGCCTCCTTCCTGTGGCCAGAGTCGCCCAGGTCCCCTCCCCCTGGCCCTCCTGCAGCGGGCGGTCCCCCACATCCTGCCACAGGGCCGGCCCAGCCCCCCAGTGTGCTCCTCCCACAGGCAGGGCCCATCCTGCCGAAGACCCTGGGATGGCCCCACGGACCCTGCCCTCCTGGAGGTCCTCGTGTCCCCACTCTCCCTTTCCCACTGGGCTCGGTCCTCCCTCTGCGCCCCTCCTGCCACTCCTCACCCCCCACCGCAGCGCCCTGCCCGCCCCTGCACCCTGTGGCCCGACACGCAGTCCTGCTGCGGTCCCCGTCCTCTCTTCCCCCCAGCTTGTCAGGACCCTTTGGTTGCTGTACAGAAGTCAACCCAGACTGGCTCAAACAAGGAAGCACTTGGCCATCGGGGTCCTTCCGGAGGCCAGGCTTGGTCTGATGCAGTGATGGCAGACCTATGGCTCGCGAGCTGCAGCGGCCTCTTGCATTATTGAAGCTCTAAAAGGCTCCCCATCACTGGTCTCGTGGCTCTGGTGACCTCGCCAGGCCGTCAGGTTCCGGCCTCTGCTTTCCTCTCCTGGAGCTGGCCTCTCTCCCAGGCCTATTAGGTGGTTTCCCAGAAAATCCGCCTTCTTCATGGGAGCAACATGGATACCATATCCCCAGGTCTCACTCACATCCCACTGTTAAGAGGAATGAGACCCCCGTCCCGCACCCCCAGCAGATGTCTGCAGTGCTCAGGGGCCACCCAGCTGGCCAGGGAGGCAGAGAGCGCTCTCTGCAGCTTCAGCAGAAGAGGTTCCCTGGCAGTGAGGGAGGCGGCTGGCGAGAGGCAGGCAGAGCTGATGTAGGAGGGGCCTCCGACTCGTCTGTCTCCATGGCCAGAGGCCTCAGTCACAGGGCTCGGCCCCAGCAGGTGGCTCCAGCCCTCCCTTCCTGCTCAGCGCATGGTTTCATTGGCCACAGGTGCACTCCCGAGTGCTCGGAAAGCTGAGTCCCTGCTATGGTTATCAACCAGCAGGCAGCATTGGCACTCCCTGCCCAGCACCGGGCCCGCCCTGCCCACATTCTCTCCCTCTGGGCCTGCTCCCATCCATCGGTGCCCAACTCGCCCCAGGAAGCCACTCCCCACCTCCCTGGTCTCCAGCCGCCCTGTCCAGGCCTTGTCTACTGCAGCGCAACTAGGACCTGTTACCCCTGCCTGCTCCCTGTGCCCTCTCCCCTTCCTCCTCCCAGCTGGGCTCCCTGCCTGGGGGCTGGACCCCAAGCTCATGCCAGTTGCGGATTCCTGCTGCACATGCTTCTTCCCGTTCCACTGTCTACCAAAATGTCATGTCCTTACCTGTCCTTCCCTGTTCTCTGGCCTTTGAGGCCCTTGCCACTGTGTGGCTTGAGATCTAAGTCCCGCCACGTGGGAGGGCCTCGCCTGGCAGTGTCCAGCACAGGGCTGTGGCACGGAGCAGGCCCCACCCCAGGATGGGTGTCACTGAGCCTTGGCGCTGAGCCCGGTGGCCATCTGCGTTCCAAGCAGATGCCAGCGTCCACAGCCTGAGCCGGCTGAAGCCTGCCCTGCACCTGGACTCTGACAGTACTGGCACCTGGCTCCCCATCTGACAGAGGCACGTGCTTGGGGCAGCCGGGCCTCCATAGCGCCTGTTAGATCACCCAGTCACGGGCCAGCTGCAGCTGATAGCACCATAATGGCCTAGCCACCAAGCTAGAGCTGCCCAGCTGTCATTCCTGCTCCAGAGGGAGGACCCCAGTCCGCCGCACTCCCACCCCTCCTGTCACCCATGGGTGGCCTGGAGCCAGGCCCAGCCATCACAGCAGCCATTCCTGTGGCCCCAGGGATTGCCCCACCTGGGGATAGGCCCCAGCCCCAGCCCCTGGCACCTCCCTAGGGCTTCTGGATTTGGACTGAGGCACCAGCCGCTGAGCCTGGGACTCACGGTACCGCAGGGACCCATGACCCATTTGTCCCTTGAGCCTGCAGGGACAAATTCTCCCCTGGGGAGAAGGCCTGGCTTTGAAAGGGGAAAGGGGGACACCAAGTGGAGCAGGGCAGCTGAGTCCCTGCTGTGAGACCCCTGCCCTGTCCCTGTTGTGTGAGACCGTACATCTATGCATGTTTTTCCTTAGGCTACTTTTGAGTTGGGTTTCTGTCACAACAGCATGAGTCCCAGCCCTACTGGTGTTTTGGGGCTACAGAAGCCAGGCTGCACCTCCTCCCTTGCCTGCCTGGGCTCCCACCATCCCAGCTCCCCATGACCCCCATGCCCCCCATGCCATCCCTTGGCCTTGAGGCAGACTCCTGGCTTCCTGGCGATTCCAGATCCTGCACTGGCCTCTGCTTCCTTGCTCTCCCTCCTGAGACATGGCCCACCTGGGACATGTCCTGTGGCCGTGTGGGTCCTCTTCCTGAGGCTGTGTGGTCCCTGCCATGGCAGTGTGGTGTTCTCTGTCCCCTTCCTGGTGCCATCTCTGCCTGCCCTGCCACAGGCACCAGGGGAATTTGAACAAATGACTTTTTAAATAAAATTACATAAATTTCTATGTGTGTAATTACATTATTGAAAAAAAATGAAATTATAGAGCAAGAAATATTAAAGGAAATTAAACATCCACTTTTCACTCCTGGATATACCGCCCTCATGTGGAGCATGCTCTCTGGGGTGTGCACAGATCTGTCACTACCTAAAGATTAAGGGCACCTTACCCCCTGTATATTATCAGACCATAGTGCAATAAAATTGGAGATCAATAGCATAAGAAACCGCAAAATCCCCACAAACACATGGGAATTGAATAACACCCTCCTGAACAACCAATGGGTCACAAAGGAAATTAAGAAACTACACAGTTTCTACAAGTAAATGATAATGCCAGTACAACATACAGGAATCAACAGGACACAATGAAAGCAGTTCTACAAGGGAAATTCATAGCAGTGAATGGCCATATTAGGAAAACAGCTCAAATAACCTAATGCTGAACCTCAAGCTCCTAGAAAAAGAAGAGCATGACAAACCCAAAGCTCGTGCAAGAGAGGAAATTATAAAGATCAGAGCAGAAATCAATGCAATGGAGACTTAAGAGAACAATACAAAAAATGAATCAGTTGGTTCTTTGAAAAATCGATAAACCTTTAGCCAACCTTATCAAAAAAAGCAAAGAAAAGGCTCAAATCCATGCAATTAAGAACCAAAAAAGTGAAGTCACAACAGATCCAGCAGAAATCCAGAGGTTCATCAATACCTACTTCGAGAACCTGTACTCTAATAAAATGGAAAACAAGAAATGGACAGATTCCTAGATACATATGAACTGCCAAAGTTAAATGAAGATACAGAAATTCTAAACACCCCAATTACAATGAGTGAAATTGAAAACAATTAAACATTTACCAACAGAAGCCCAGGTCCTGATGGCTTCACTGCTGAATTCTACAACACATCTGAAGAGGAGCTATCGCCATTACTCTTTAAACTCATCAAGGAAATTGAAAGGGAAGCAATACTTCCAAATTCATTCCTGAAAGCAAGTGTTACTTTGATTCCAAAACCAGGGAAAGACCCACCTAACCAAAGAAGACAAATACAAGCCAATCTCCCTAATGAACATAGATGCAAAAATCTTCAAGATAATGGCAAACAATACAGAAGGTCATCAAGAAGATCATATACCCTGACCAAGTCAGATTTATCCCAGGGATGCAAGGATGGTTCAACATACATAAATTAATAAATGTAATACATTATATTAACAGAGCCAAGGACAAAAACCATATGATCATCTCAACAGATGCAGAAAAAGCATTTGACAAAATCCAACACCTATTCATGATAAAAACCCTACAGAAAATTGGAATAGAAGGTCTTTATCTCAACTTGATTAAGGCTATCTATGAAAAACCAACAGCCAACATCATACTAAATGTTGAAAAACTGAAAACTTTCACACTAAAATCAGGAACAAGACAAGGATGCCCACTGTCACCACTCCTGTTCAATATAGTTCTGGAAACAGCCACAGCAATTAGAAAAGAGAAAGAAATAAAAGGAATAAAGATAGGAAAGGAAGAAGTTAAACTCTCATTATTTGCTGATGATGTGATACTTTACATAGAAGACTCAAAGAACTCTGCCAAAAGACTTCTAGGCTTAATTGACAGATTCAGTAGCTTAGCTGGATACAAGGTCAACACTCAAAAAACAATAGCCTTCTTATACACAAATAATAGACTCACTGAGAGAGAAATTAAGGAAACACTTCCTTTTACAGTAGCCTCCAAAAAAATGAAATATCTAGGAATCAATCTAACAAAGGAAGCAAAAGACCTCTACACTGAAAACTACACCACTCTGAAAAAAAGAGATCAAAGATGATATAAGAAAATGCAAAGACATCTCTTATTCCTGGGTAGGAAGAACCAATATAATGAAAATGGCCATACTTCCAAAACTGCTATACAGATTCAATGCAATCCCGATTGAAATTCCAATATATTTTACAGAACTACAGAAAACAATCCAAAAATTCATTTGGAACCAGAAGAGACCTAGAATAGCAAAATATCACAATCCCCAACTTGAAACTATACTACAAAGCTACTGTGATAAAAACAGCATGGTATTGGCAAAGAAACAGACCTGAGGATCAGTGGAATAGATTAGAAGATGCAGAAACAACTCCAGACACCTCAGCTTTGACAAAGGAGCCAACCACCCTCACTGGAGGAAAGATAGCCTATGTAATAAATGGTGTTGGAAAAACTGGATTTCAACCTGCCAAAGATTAAAACTAGAACTGTATCTTTCACCATGCACTAAACTAAAATTGAAGTGAATTAAAGATCTAAATATTAAAACACTAAATTGCTGGAAGATAAGTTAGGTAGAACTCTTGAAGGCATTGGCATAGGAAAAGACTTTATGAATAAAACCTCAGTATAGGGGCCGGGGATTTAGCTCAGTGGTTTTGCTGCCTGCTGCGCAAGTGCAAGGACCCGAGTTCGATCCCCGGTACCAAAAAAAACCAAACAAAAAACCTCAGTAGCACAAGAACTAGCACAAAGAATCAACAGCTGGGATCTCATCTTATTAAAAAGCTTCTGCACTGCAAGAGAAACTACCAACAGAGCTAAGAGACAATCTACAATGTAGGAAAAATTTTTTAGCAGCTGTACCTTAGACAAAGGACTATTATCTAGAATATATAAAAAACTGAAAAAAATCAGACCCCTCAAATTTAAAAACTTAATTCAAAAATGGGCATCTGAAATGAACAGACATTTCTCAAAGAAGTAAAAGCAGCAAATAAAGATATGAAAAAATGGGCCGGGGATTTATCTCAGTGGTTTCGCCGCCTGCTGTGCAAGAGCAAGGACCCGAGTTCGATCCCAGGTACCAAAAAAAAAGAAAAAAGATATGAAAAAATGTTCCACATCACTGGTCATTCGAGAGATGCAGATGAAAAAACACTGAGATTCCACCTCACCCCAGAAAGAATGGCTGCTATCAAGAAATCAACCAATAACAAATGCTGGCGGGGGTGTGGGGAGAAAGGAACCCTTCTCCATTGCTGGTGGGAGTGTAGACTGGTGCAACCACTGTGGAAATCAGTATGGAGATCAAAGAACTAGGACTAGAGGTCCCATTTGACCCAGCTATTCCCCTGCTGGGTATATTCCCAAAAGAATTAAAAGACTCATACCACAGCGATATATGTGCACCCATGTTTATAGTGGCACGGTTTGTAATAGCTAAAGCTTGGAAACAGCCCAAGTGCCTATCAACTAGAAACTGGATAAAGAAGATGTGGTTTTTTAATAAAATGGAGTACTACTCAGCCATAAAGAACGAGAAACTAGACATTTATAGCTAAATGGATGCATATTGAGGCGATACTCTTAAGTGAAATAAATAGGACACACGTGTAAATACAGAATAGTTTCTCTAGTGTGAGAAACTGAAAGTGTAAATAAGGATTAAAATGATTAAAACGAATAATTGATAATTTGAAAGAGGAAGAAAAAGTCCAGAGGGGTAGGGGAAGTGGGAGGGGAAGGGGAAAGGAAAAATTATTAGAAAAGGAAATAGTGGAAACAAAGTCTTTGTAAATAGGGAAGGGTGGAGGGGGTGAAGGGAGGACAGAGAATGGGGAAAAAATAACCAAGTTACATCATGTACAGTACAATCACCCAATGATAAATGTAAACATATCGTATACCTAAAATGTACCAATAAAAGAATCTATGCAAAAAAACAAAAACAAAAAAGATTAAGGACACCATGCACTTCACCCAGTGTGACAGAATCCCTTCATAAAAATGAAAAACAACTTTAAAAAAATTAATTGTTCAGTAGCTTAATCCTATCCCATTGCACTGCTGGGCCACTTCTTAGTGGGATTTAGCATCCTGTCTCCTGCTGCTACGAGTGACGGCAGGATGTGGTAATCCCAGGGTACACCATGGAGCAGCCTCCGTGTCCTGGGAGCAGCTATGTTCCAGGCTCTTGGGGTCCCTGCTGACCCTGTGCCCAGCCACATTCCCCCACCAGGAGCCCCTGCCCAACAGGGCCCACCGCTAATTTAGTAGGCATTTTTGTTTTAACTTGCGTGTCTATTAGTAAGTTGTGATTTTTTTAAAAAAGAAAACACCCATGCATTGCTACCAAGAACTGAAAAGGACTAACATTTTATCATATTTATATGAAGTTTTTAAAGACAATAAAGTTTCCATAAAGTAATTTGTAGGGGCTTTTGGCTTTGATTTCTCCTACTGTGATTGTTCTGGAATGAATTCCTCTTTATTTCATGGTCACTTGGTGCATGCCAGGGTGTCAATACCCAGGCACTTCTGAGAAATGTCCACCCGACTGATTCTCCCAGACCATGGGGAGAAACTTTCCTGCCCATTGGCGGGCGGACCTCCTGTCTTTACTCAGAGGCCAACACAAACCAACCTTTGCACACAGCCTGAAGCGTAGGCCCCCCTGGAGTAGGTACGCCCTCTGGACAGGAACAGGAAGGGCAGGAGGAAGCTCCAGGTGCAGGGAGGGCTGATGCTGGGTGCGGGCGCCCAGGGGAGCCCATAACCTCCCTCTGCTGTAGGCAATAAGCCCCATCCTCCTGCCCCAGGGCTGCGCTTGCCTCTCCTGAGCCTGCAGGCCAGGTGGGCGGGGGCGGGGGCAGTGATAAGAAAGTGAAAATACAAAGTGCTCTTTGTAACTGGGATAGTGGGATGGTGACAGCAGCTCTGCTGCTCACAGGCACATGGCACATGAGGACAGCACTGCCCCTGCTTCCAGAAGAGACACAGACACTGCAGGGAGGGGACTGGGTCAGGTCAGCGACAGAAAAGGTTGGAGCCCAGTGGGTGCACTCAGTGCCTGCATTTTCCAACTGCTGCCCCCTCACCAGCTTCGGGGTGTCCAACCTCTGGTGGGCTGCGTGCCAGGGTCCCGGCTCCTCCCTGCCTTGCTTGGCCACAGGCGCCTGGCCCAGAGCGGGCTGCTGGTCCTGCACGCCCCCTTGCACCTGGACTGCCCTGGACAGTGAGGCGTCCGTGCCCTGGCCACCTCCTGGGCCTGTCATCCTTAATCGCAGGCTGCAGTGAGTGCACTGTGGGTGTTTCCAGGCCCTCCCCACTCTTCTGGCTAGGACCACCAGAAGCTGACTGAGAAGCTCAAATCCAGAGCCCGCACATAATGCCAGTGTTTAACCGGGATGAACAGGATCTCTCCAGGAGCCAGGATGCACGACATGAAGGGGGCCTCAGCAAATTTGGGGAACTTCTCCAGGTTGGGGTTCTCCACGTCAACCTGAAGAAAGCAAAAGAAGCCGCTGTGGGTCTCCAGGGACAGTGGGGACGGGGAAGAGGGCCCTGCAGCCGGGCTCCACACGCTCACCTGGCTGGTGTTGTGAAGCAGGTTCGTCTCGTGAGGGTACAGGGCCTCCGAGTCCTGCGGCGAGTACAGCCGGATGTACTTCCTCCCCATCACCTGGGGAGAGACACCTTCAGGGCTGCCGCTCCGTGGCCTCCTGCCTCCCACATGCCGCTCCCTGGGCCTGGTTCGCACTGCGGCCACACACGTGCCTGGATTCCACTTCATTCCTGCTGCCCAGCATAGGGCTGCAGGTCTGTACCAGGCAACTGTGTTACCTCGCGTAACCCTCACAGCTCTCAGGGGTGCTTCCTTGTCACCCCTATTTTTCTGGTGAGGAAACTGAGGCAGAGAGGTGAAATGAAGTGTTCAAGTTCGCAAAGCTGCAAGGGGACAGCTGGAGTCGCACTGGGCAGAGACCTGGTGCTCGACCTACTGAGTGGCCTCTTTGGACCGGCCTGGCGGGCACCAAGAGTGCCCATCCACGGAGCCTCTCTGCCTGCCTGAGAAGAACAGGGCAGCTGCGCCCCAGTCACTACAGGCATGCACTCCTCTCCCGGTGCCTGAGGGGCCGCCCAGCCTGTGTTCCTGGGAGGTGGCCGTGGACGGCTGGACGGTGGCAGTGTGGCAGTGGCAGCTCACTGTGGTTCCCTCTGCAGGGAGCCCAGGATGAGCCACATCCGGAGCAGCCCCAGCAGGGAGGCCCCCTGGGACCTGCTGCTATTTTGTTTTCATTTCTGTCCACATCCCTCCAGTGGTTTTTGTTTCTCCACGTTACGAGCCTGGTGTTTAAAGGGGGACAAAGTGGCTGGGTCACCTGGCGGGGCCAGGAGAAGGGAGAAGCCCCTGTCCTGGCGGTGGCTCCCACCCACCTGGGCTAGGAAGTTCTGCTGGGGGTCCTGGTGGAGTGGGGACACCGTCCCGGGGGGGCCGAACCAGGCGTTGATGGTGATCTCCTCCTCCTCCCCACTGCCCAGGCAGCAGTAGTCGGGGATGCTGATGTCGCCCTTGAGCTCCGGGATCTGAGGGCAGGAATGCAGGCAGCGCTGGGAGCTCCCAGCCGGCACCATCCTACAGCCCGACTTCCGGGGTTAGAACTTACAAAACAACTAAGAACATGTAACTAGCAGGTGACAGCTGTAATCTTAGTTGCGTATTTGTTTCCATGTGGTATAGATTTACTCATCTAAAAAAAAATTAAATGTTTTTAAAAGATCAAATTAAAGAAAAACAAAAAGAAAATGGGATTGGATATTTAGCAGATCTCCAAAGGGGAAGATTTTTCCAAAATTTACCAAAGAAACCCCAATTGGTATATTTTAAGTAAATTAACTATAAAGGGCAACAAACCAGGAAACGTGCTCAATTCGCTCTGGAGAGAGGGATTATGCAGAGTCATGCAGTCAGAGCTGGAGCAGCACAATCTCAAGCCACAAATTTCACAAGTCATCAAAGGCCACGAGCGAGACGACAGGACAAGGGCTTCCGGGGCCTTAGCAAATGAGCCCAAACAGAGGCAGCCAGTATTCCCAGCAGTCACGTGAGGGGAGACTGAGGCGCTCCTGGGGACGGCAGGGACCCTGCTCACAGCAGCGTGGCCATGAGGGAAGACGTGAAGGGCCCCAGTCTGAGTTGGCTGTGCTCCCCGGGCCACCTGACTCGGGGAGGAGGGGCCTGAGGGCAGTGGTACAAGGCCAGCCGCGCTCGGGAGCCACAGTGCTGACATGAGTGATAAGCTGCAGCTGGAGACCGGCACCCACGCCATGCCCCAAGCTTCCGGCCGTCCCTGGATAAGGGTGCCTATTCACCCCATGGCGTATATCCCTGCTTCCCACTTCTCCAAGGCCAGCCAGGCATGGTGTGCGCTTCCCAGCAGGCTCAGCCGCTACCGCCAGGTATCCAGGGGCCCAGCCCCTAGCTGAGCCTGCTGGTATTTTCCAAGGCGGAGAGGAATGAAAACAGGGTGGCCAGGGGCCTCCCGTGTTTCTGAAGAGTAAGCCCCTTCCTCCCATTGCCACGCTTCCAGCTGCACTTTCAGTTGCTGGTCAGGAATCCAGGGGCGACCTGGGAAGGCCCAAGTTCTCCCTGCAGGGAGCGTGGGCCTGGATGCCACTGTTCTGGACTCTGAGTCTGTCTCATGTGGCCAGTGTGGCCTCGAGAAGGCTGCTTGATGCACTGTTCAAGTTCATGGTCTGAGGTCCCCGGTGCTGCAGGGAGTCCTCAGGCTATTCGCAGGATTGCGGCTCCCTGTCACATCCCACTACTGCTTCTGGCTCAGACCTGGCCCTGCGGGATGCTGAGCAGAACTCTGATTGGCTCCTGATGACATCATCAGGATTTCTGAAAGGTGACTGGCTTCGTCGGATCCCATCATCAGAATCTGACCAAAGATTCAGACTGGAGAGAATAAACGCTCCATGATGCGAGTAATAGCTGAAGACAGCCCTAAAATGGTAGCCAAAAGCTTCACAGCACAGGGCCTCTGGGAGAAAAGTCGGCAAGAGTTTGCTGGGCAAGAATTTGGTGGGAGCCAGAGCTTCTAGAGGCGGAGGTCCCAGCAAACGCCTGTGCCGTGCTGAAGAATGCAGGGCTCGGGCTGCCTGACTTCTCTGAGGCCCCCTGAACGGCAAGGCGAGAGGGGATGCCCTGCAGAGGGGATGCCCACCTCCTGCCCCTCAACAGGCCTCCTGGCTGGCCACTGACTCCACCTGCACCTCAGCATGAGGGGCACCTGTCCCAGGGCTGCCCTCCCCACCACCCCAGCTCCCCCAGTCGGCAGCAGGCAGGTTGGGGGTCTCTGGCCCAGGCCGGGGAAAGGAGATGGCCAAGTACCAGGTGCTGGGACTCGGGACGGGCACTACCCGGAGCCCCCGGACTCTCGCCTTCTGGGGCTGGCCTAGAGCTGTGCTACCCTGGCTCTCCGGGACCTGCTGCTCCCTTCTCACCACACCTGGATTTCTGACCGAGGCCCACCCGGCTGCCAGTGGGCTCAGAGCAGCTTCGTTCCCTGGAAAGGAGGCGAGTGATGGGAGGGTGAAGGAGGGAAGTGTCTCAGACTCACCTGGTCAAAAAGCTGGTGCTGAGCCAGGTACCCAACGTCCCCCGCCTGCCCCAGGAGAGAAGCAGGGCACAGAGGCTGGTTAGGCATGGCAGACGTGCCCCACGCGGGTGCCACTCAGCTGGTGCTGCCCCCATTCCTGCCCCACAGCCCAGTTGGGTCTTGCTGGGCCCGTCCTCTTCCGCGCCCTCCAGCAGGACTCGCTAGGGGTGGGAGACAGAGTCCTGCTGTGCCCTCCCAGCTCCGGCGCCTGAGGGAATCACCCAGGGCTGCCCCCTCAAGTGACAAATGCAGGCGCTTTGCATACATTTCTTTTCCATTGTAAAAAAATAATTTTTAACAAGTCTGGAAAAATATGCATAACTTAAAATTACCATTTTGGCCCTTGTCAGTGTCCAGTTCAGTGGCGCTTAGCACATCCCCGCTGCTGCATAGCCCTCACCGTCTGTCCAGGGCTCCCTCTCCCTGGCCACCTCGAAACCGCACCCACATAGGGGCAGCTCTCCGCTACCCGCCCAGGCCCTGGCGACCACCTCTTTGTAAAAGGTAAACGGGATTTTATATAGATAGGTAGTTTTGCCTTGGCATTTCCTTATTTCTCTCCCTGGTGCTAGTGAGAAGAACCCAGGGCCTCACATATATGGAGCACACACTCCACCAAGAGCTACGCCCTGGCCAGAAAGCTGCGTTTCTCTTTGCTGACATGTCATGCATCTGTAACTCTTTGGGGAAACCCCTACGAGAGGTATGGCTGGGTGGAATGGCATTTCCGTTTTTAGTTTTTTTAAGACAGGGTCTCACTGTGTAGTTCAGGCTGGCCTTGAACTCATGGCGATCCTCCTGCCTCAGTCTCCCCAGTTCTGGGACTACAGGCCTGCACTACCACACCCGGCTCTGAGTTGCTGAGGAGTTTTCATACTGATTCCCACAGTGGTTGCACTGGTTTACATTCTACCAGCAATCACTGCCCAAGGTGCTTGACGGGCTCTGTGAAGACGGCCGAGGTCCCTGGGGGCAGGGGGAGCTGGAGCACCTGGCACCCCACTGCCCTGGGGCAGAGGCAGCTACACCCTACAGCTGAGGGTCCCTGTAGATCCCAGAGCTTCCCCACCCCCCTGCAGCCTCCTCAGCAGCAGACACTGCTGAGACCACGGGCGAGGCCATGTCCACCTCCTGGGGATGGTCGGGGTGCATCAGGCATCAGCAGCCTCTGGCCAACCAGGCCAACACAGCCCCAGTGGCCAGAGCTCAGGGCTGTGGGGATGCGGAGGAAGGAAGCAGCCGAGGCCACGTGGCCAGCAGGGCCAGGGCCAGGGCCGGTGCAGCAGGGCAGCCTGGCTTTCGGCTGCTGGTGTTCCTTCCCGGCAGCTGTGATGGTGAAGGCCTCCTTGGCCAGGCTGCAGGGGATGGGAGCCTGTGGGCAGCTGAGGGGCAGGGAGTGGCCCAGAGGCCAGGCTGTGAGTGCGTCTTCGGAGGGCAGAGGTGTGAAAGCGGAGGCTGCAGCAGCAGAAGCTGCCAGAGGCCTTGGGCCCCGCGACTCCCTGTCCGGGAAAGCGGTGCTGGCCAACACTGATGGGCAGAAGCAGGGGTGCAGCCTCCTGGGGGCGGGGGGGAGGCGGGAATGCTGACTACCGGGTGGGGAGTCTTTGGGGGCAAGGCCAATGTCATGGAATTAGGTGACTGTGACGGATGCACAATCCTACGACTATGCCAAAAATCACTGAACTGAACCAAAAACAGGGACCTGAAAGGAGGCCCTGGTGCCTTGCTGGTGGCCTACGGACGCCAGGCCCCCTGCCCTGCCGAAGCCACGCAGCGCCCAGCCCTGCTCTGCACCGGGACGGGAAGGAGCCGGACCCCTCACCTCACTCTCGATGTACTTGCTGATGAACTCGCTGACAGTCATAAGGGTCTGTGACCAGTCCTCATCCGTGTACCTGGACCCAACCTCCACGGGGACAGTGCGGCAGCCAGCGATCTCCCGGACGTATTCCACGCTGCGAGAAACCCAGGAGCACGTGACCGTCACGTGGGCGTCCTGCTGACGTCCGCTGCCCACACGTGGAGTGGGCTGTCACAAGCCTCAGCCACAGTGCAGAGGGTCATGTGGGTGCAGAGGCCAAGGCCCCAGGGCCAGTGCACAGCAGCGTGCAGCACTGCAGTCTCAGGACACCTGCGCCAGCCACTCGGCTTCCCCGCCCGCCGGTCCTCTCTCTCTGTGCTCATCCTGTCCATTGGCTGAGATCTGAACAACGGCCGCAGGATGTGGGGTAGCCAAGGGCCCGGGCTCTGGACCCTGGGCCTCCAGGTGCAACCAGGGGCCTCTCTGAGTCCTGCTTTCTGTCTGCAGGAGGGACAGATGCGGGCCTGCCCCAGGGAACCGGGAGGGTCAAAAGAGGTCACATGTGGCCAGTGCCTGAGCTGGCACCTGGCAAACCCAGGATGCATTTCCGCCACGGCGCCTGCGGTCACCACCCCTCCTCCTTTGACCTCCGCAGGCAGCTGCCCTTGCAGAACCCTAAACAGCCACCCACCTCCCTCCCAGGCCTCCTATCCCTCAGCAGCCTCGGAGGCTGGGTTCCAGAACTGGCTCCTGGAGATGCCAATGCGGGGGATAAAAAAATAGTACAACAGTAGCTGAGCAGGGTGGTGCACACTTAAAATCCCAGCACTCTGGGAGGCTGAGGCAGGAGGATCACAAGTTCGAGCCCTGCCTAAGCAACTCAGTGACTTAGCAGGACTCTGCCTCAAAATAAAAAATAACTGGGCGTGGTGGCACACACCTGTAATCCCAGTGCTCAGAGGCTGAGCAGGAGGATCACTGTGACCTCAAGGTCAGCTTGGGCTACACAGTGAGTTCAAGGCCAGCCTGATGATGCGATGCGGTTCAGTGGGAAGGCCCTGGGTTCAATCCCCATTATCACACACGCAGTAGTGTGCACATCCTCTTGAGTACCCTCTCGCATGCCTTAGGGTACCTCCTGCCCACTTAGGATACCGACACATGCGAACACATGCGAACGGTGTTCTACAGCGTGGCTCTGCGTCCCTCGAGGATCTGCACGGGTGGAATCCGAGGACACGGAGCCCACAGGTGTGCAGGACCCGAACCTCCTCACGCCAAATGCATGCACAGCGGCTCCCCCGCCTGGCCTGACCTCCCTCCACTCTCCACTCTTCCAGCTTTGCCTCAGGGCCCCAGGAAAGGGCCAGGGAATTTCCAAGATCCTACAACATTTCCCATAGCCTCTCCCCAAGACTGCCACTCCAAGCAGCCATGGAAGCTAAGACTCTTAGACCCTCTGGCATGCATTAGACCACCTCATGTTCAATTCTGGTTTAACCCCTAGGCAGTCGACCTGCTGGCAGCAAAGTGTCTGTGGGTGGCAGGAGGAGGAGGAGTTCAGATGCCCTGGGGATGGAGGTGGGAGAGGGAGCTCTCGGCCCTGCGGTAACCACTCACCTCCACTTCCTCATGCAGGGCCAGTGGTCAGCCACACCCTCCAAGACCACAGGCCTCCCGGGAAGCAGAAAGTGCTTCCGGAAGTGCTGGAGGGAGGGACGGTGGAGCCGGGGCACGGCTCTTTCCAACTGCACATCTGGAGCAGAAATGTGGTCATACCTCGCTCTCTGTTTGAAATGGAAATGAAACAAGAGGGTGACTGACTCAAATTCAAAACCTGGCATCGCTGGTAGGATGGCTCAGGTGTCATTGGTAACACAGCGTTCGTTATTATTACTCTACTATTTTCTCTCATGAGATCAAGGTCCTGTTTTCTTTCCATTCTATGAATAATGTTTGTTCAGTTGTAACAGTAACATCGCTGTCACGGAAACTGCCATGCAGGAGACTTCAGTGCCCCGGATCACTGTTAAATACGGTGTTCCTCTCCGGCGTCTCCTCTCCCACCTCCCACACCTGCTGGATGTCACAGTCACGACGATGACAACCCTGCGGCTGGCACCAGTCCCTTCTCTAGAGCAGATTCCACACTGCCATGGTCCTTGCAGTCTCTTACAACGCCCGCATTGGGCTCTGGTGAACACCTTCCAGCGGGGGCCCGAGCCAGCTGCTCGCCACCCTGGGCCTCTGTCTCCTCGGTCTTCGAACTTTGGGAGACAAAATCACACACGGTGCCCAGGGCTGACTGGCACGTGGCCCCTCCCTGGTCTCTCTGAGGGCACAGCCTTCTGAAGCAGCTTTGCCATGCACACACTCCCTGGACAGAGCCTCCAAGACCAGCCCGACCGAGGGGAAACGCGCGCGCCCGCACAGCCTCAGCGGGACGGGAAGTGAGCGGGGGAGGCGGGGCCGCCCTGCGCCACACCCTGGCCTGGCCCACCCGCCTCGCCTCGCTCGCAGCTCAGGGCCGAGCAGCAGCCACCGTGCAGGGTGACGGCCTGGGGAGGTGCAGCGAGGCCAGGCCGAGGCGAGATGCCTGCCTGAGTCACAGACGGGCGGGGGTAGGAAGGAGCCCCCAGCCAAGCCACACTCACGTCCTGGGGGCAGACACTGCCCGTGCAGGGCCACTGTGGGCGCGAGGACACACTTGGAAGGGCGCAGGCCACAACCCGCGCCAAGGGGGACGCTCTGTCCCCTGACCCGCAGCTCTGTCCTGCCCTCTCCAGTGCCAGCCGCCACACCCCGCCACACGCCGCACGCTGGGCCACCCTCAGCCCTGTCCCCGTCCGAGAGCGGCCGCCTCACTCTCCTGTGCTTCTCTCCCTGCCTTTTAGCTACAGCTGCGTGGGGTGTTTCCTGGGTGCCCGAGAGCCCTCTGCTCCGGGTCCTGGCCTGCAACCCGGGGCGCTGCTCCTCCTCCTGACCCAGCCTCTCCTCGGAGGGCAGGACCAGTCTCTCTCCATCTCTCCCCCTCTGGGGTCTCCTCTTGTGACACGAGTATGTGTTTCCTGACATCCATCTGGATTTTCCTCATATAAAATTAATACTCACAGTAGAAGACTCTAAAAACACAGGAGAGCATGGAGAAGTCGGTCAGAAACGCTCTGTAACTCCTCGCGCAGTGTGCAGCATGGCCTTAGTCTTTCCTTCCAGGCATCTAACTTCCACTTCACCGACAAGAAACCAAGGCTCAGGCAGGAGCTGGCTCTCGGGGAGGGGGAGCCTGTCAGCCCCGGGCCCTGGAGCCTCCCCGGCTCGGCTCACTGTGCTTGGGGCCTAGAGGGGCCTCTTGGGCACAGGCATGCGTTGTGCTTCTACCTAATACCCGAGCCCCACATGTCACAGGTGGGGCTGGGTCACGGCTGTGGTCCTGGAGTGGCCCTCTGATCGGGTCAGTGTGTTTCTGGCTGGGGTTGATGGACTTACTGAAGAGAAACACCCTGGGTGTGGGTGGCACCAGCCAAAAGGCTCATAGCCTGGGTGGGGTAAAAAGGGACAAAAGGGATTGTGCTGCTCTCTGCCTGTCATGCGATGAACTTTTCCTCCTCGCTACGGAACGAGTCCACTATGGACTGAGACCTCTACAGACTGAGCTAAAACAAGCCTTTCCTCCTTTAGCTTGTGGCTGTCAGGTATTTTGCCCCAGCAACGAGAAAGTAACCAGGACGCCACACGAACACCAGCAACCCCACACGGAGCGCACAGCAGGAAGCTCTGGGCAGATTCTCCCCTGTGCTCCACTCATGGGCGCAGGAGGGGAAGTGAGGCTGGGCGAAGCCGGCCAAGGGCAGGCTGCCTCTGCCACAAGGGCCCCGGACGGACCCTGCCTCGCCGGGGACGCCGGAGCTCACACCCTCCTGCTCCTAAGACACCACTACTTTTGTGGAAAGTAGGAAAACAATTTTGGCAATAAGGACCCAGCTTCTGCACTCGCCACCTCAGTGGAGGCTGCTTCCAGCCAGCAGGGCTGCGCACCATGGGGCCTCGCCCCAGGGGCAAAGGCACCTGACAGCTCCAGGAGTAGGGGCTGCAGGCCACTCAGTGCGGGCGCAGGCGCTGGCGCTCCCCAGGTACCTTTGTGCTGGGCAGCTCCCGGCGCGGACTTCGGTCAGGCCTCTTCTCAGCCACCAAGTGCGCCTGCAGGACAGCCGCGACCCTGACGAGGACGTCCCCGAGGATGGCTGCACCCATCAGCAGGCCCATGTCACACACTCGCAGAGCTGCAGCCACAGCGGTGGCCTCCCGGGGCGGCTGGCACAGGCACAGTGTCTTCAGGAGGCACCCAAGGGCATACACCTGCCGCCAGGCCCTGTCCACGGCCTGCCATGGCCCGGCGTTGAGCTTCTCCCAGGTGTAGTCCAGCATGGCCTCGCTGGCCTGCAGGCACTCGGCCTGCCGGCCCCCAAGGAACAGCTCCACCGCCTGCTGCACCAGCAGCGCTGCGCCTCTGTCCACCTTCTCGCCGACGTCCAGCTTCAGCTCCTCCCTCATGGGCGGCAGGAGCGCCAGGAGGGCCTCCCAGAGGGCATCTCCAGGCCCCCGGGGACCTTCCGCCATGTGGCCCAGGCAGCTCAGTCAGACAGCACCTGAGAGGGACACACCAGAGTGAGGCCACGCACAGAGCCGCCTGCCTGCCTGCCGTGCGCTCCGGGTCATCTCTGAGGGGCACTCGCTCCATGAGCATGGGGCCCAGCACAGCGCCCGGCTTCCGGTGAGCTCTGGACAGGTGTCTCAGAGCAGAATGTGTACTGTCCTTGTCTGGAATGCCTCCAACATCCCTCCGCTGCCTGGCAAACTCCTACCCAACCATTCAGGCCCATCTTAATGATGGCCTGTGTGGAGCTTTGTGGCATTCTCCACAGTGCTCTGTGCTCCTGGGCCCTTGGGGCTCTCTGACAGCACTTGTCATGGGACACAAGTACAAACAGCTCCCTGCCGGTTGGCTCTCCAGTGCCAGACTGAGCTGGTCCAGGCCGGCACCCTTCTCCTGCCCCCGCCCCACAGCACAAAGGCAGGCGCTCCGCGTAGGAGGTGACTGACGGGACAACTTCTCAGGAGGTGCCACGGTCTGAATCAGGTCCCCAAAGGCCCCTTGCTCGACCATCAGGAGGCGGGGCGGGGGATGGCAGCTCATTGCGGGGAGCGCCCCAAAGGGGCCCAGGGACCCCAGCCCCGCTTCCTGCTCACCGTGAGGCAGGGTGCAGCGGCCTCCTTTGCCACCCCCACCTTGCTACAGGCTCAGAGAAGGGGCCGGGCAGCCCTGGACTGAAACCTTGTGAACCAGGAGCCAAGGTGAATCTTTCCTCTTTCAAACTTGACGCATGTCAAGTACTTGCTGCAAGGACAGAGCTGACTGACTCAGAAGATACCTGGGACTACCTCAAACCTGACCAGAAAGGAGGAGCAGCACAGCTGGGGCCTTTGGTGGCTTTAGCCGGGCGCTGCGAACGGATGGCAGCTGTGGCCATCACGTGAAGGGAATTACCGCTCACACAGTCACGGTCTCACACCTGCCTCACGCTGCGGGTCTCATGCCGACAGCTGGGACGTCTGCTGTGGGGTGGAGGTGGTCCGTCCCCCAAAGCTTCAAGTGCTGGAAGCTCGGTCCCAAAGGTAGCCGTGCTGAGAAACGGCGGAAGCTTGAGGAGGCGGGACCTGGTGGGAAGTGAGCGGGTCACCGGTGCCACTGTGAGGAGGGGCGAAGGCCACGCTGCAGCAGAGGGCAGTTACCCCGAGAGCGGTCTGGCCTCCTCACCGGCCCCTGCTGTCCCTCCCACGCCTCCAGCATGGCGCAGTGTAGCTGGGGGCCCTCACTACATGCTGGTGCCATGCTGTTTGGGCTTTGCAGCCACCAGAACTGTGAGACAATAAACCCCTTCTCTCTAGTAACACAACAGAGCAAGACACCTCTTCTATCTCATGTGATGCTGCTGATCGGGTCCATCGTGCTTTTTGCAGAGAATGCTTTATGCTGGGAGTTGGTGAAGAGCTAGTTATGGAACATTTCAGGCTCTACAGGTCACAGTCATGGCTACCACAGCTCCGTCGCTCAGCATGAAGGTGGCCATGCACCACACACGAACCAATGGGTGTGGCTGTGTTCCAATAAAACTTTATTCATAAGAGTAGGTGGTGGGCCAGATGGAGCTTGCCAACCCTTGCTCTGTCCTCACAAAATTCTCTTCTTCCAGGCACACAGGCTATTTCCTGGGCTCACCTGCAATTCGCTGACCCACCCACTGGCCACAGCTGAAGGACTCTGAGACTCCTGGGGATTCCAGAGCCACACGATGACAGGAAACTGGCATCCGGGGAGGGGAAGCCTGGACAGGCCCCCCAAGCAGGGCAGATGTGTTCAGCCTCGAAAGTGCTGATGCCTGTTGTAAGCTAGCCTGCCTAATCCAGGAACTTCTATCTTTCCTGTTCTTTCTCATAATGGCTCCTCACCAATGTCCATATCCCAGTCCCTAGAAGCTGTGACTATGTCACCTAACATGGCAAAAGGCCTCTGCACCAGTGTTGAGAATAAGGACCTGGAGATGGGAAGACTGTTTTGCATCCTTTGAAGGGCCCCATCCAATACATGAGGCCTTAAAAGAATTGCCGCCAGCTGAAGTTGGCCTGGAGAGGACATGTTGACTTTCCTAGAAAGGTCAGAGCTATGCCCCTCTGATAGCTCTGAGGACAGGAGGTGGACACAAGCTGAGAGGAATGCCAGCAATCTGTAGAAGCTGAGAAAAATCAAAGAAATGGATTCTCCCCTCAGGCCTCCAAAAAGGAACACAGCCCTGCTGAGACCAGGACTTTAGCCCAGTGAGACCCACATTAAACTTCTATCTACCGATCTGTAAGGTAAAAATCAGTGCGGCTCACAGCCCGGTGCTTGTGGTGGCGTGATACAGCAGCTGCAGAGAGAGCAGAGGGTGACAGGGACGGGACGCCTCTTGCATGACTGGGTCACCCGGGTCAGAAACTGGCACCGGGCGGGGAGGCTCTCTGCCTGCTTGGCTTGTGCTCCGTGTGGATGCTCAGTGTGCAGGACAGGCCCGTGTGGCAGAGACCTGAGGAGGCCGAGAGGCAACAGCAAGTGAGGAGCCACTGCGTCTGTGCTGTTGCGCGGCAGGAGGTCCAACTAACACCCACCCGGATGTCACAGACACGGTCGCTGTGACCGAACACCACAGAATGAGTAATCCAAGAAGAACAGCTCTCGTTAGCTCGTGGTTGTGCAGTCTAGGGAGCCTCAGAGCAAGGCAGGGAACCTGGGCGGGGACTTCCTGCTGGTGGAAAAGACAGCCAGACTGGCCAAACTGGCTTTTCCAACAGGCCCACTGGGGATAACTCCCTCTGTAATCCATTAATCTATGAATTCATGACGGGGACTCCACCACGGGACAACAGTGCCCAGGAGCCGAGCACCACCCAGAGGTCCCCACCTCACAGCGAGGCTGCCCTGGGGACCAGGTCTCCAATCCAGCAGCTTCTCGGAGGCCACAGCTCCCCGGACACAGATGGTGACTCCCGGAAGAACAGGAGAGCTCCAGGGCGCATCACAGAGCTGTAGCAGGCGGGAAGCAGGCCCACAGCAGAGCGAGGTCTGTGAGGGCGGCCTCCACATCCCCATCCCTGACCCCGGGCCCACTTTAGCTCCCTGCCTTCCACCCCTGACATGGGAAGCAACAGCAGGCAGAGTCCTGAGAGCGATGTGCACTGCTGCATTGAGCCCTCACGGTGAGTCACTGTAGACCAGGGATACTGGGAGAACTTGATCCAGCACTCCTCAGAAGCTTGGAAAGTATCACCACCCCCAATTCAGACCAGGAACCGCAGGCAGAGAGAGGAATACCCTCCCCAAAGCAGTTCGGCTAGTCAAGTGGCAGGGCTGAGACTGTAAACTCAACCAGCATGGCTCCCAGATCTGACTGTATGGACGAGGGATCAGGAACAAGCACTCGAAGGACTGGGGACTGGGGTGAGCTCACAAGGGAAGCCTGTGAGGAAGGAACGACTACCCAGTCTCGAGAGAACATGGGCTCACTCCACAGTAAGAGGAGACACAGCCTTCTCACCTGTCATTTTGCAGCTCCTTTTCCCAGGCCTGTCCTAAAGTAATGGCAATAACTCAGAATTGCTCTTAGTTCTTCAGCCTGCATCAGGGCTTCCCAATATTGGGAATATATATTCTTTACATATATATACGTGGTGGTGGTGGTGCTTGGGATTGAAATGAGCTACATCCCAGGGCCTTGGCAATAAGCTACATCCCCAGCCATTTTTAAATTTTTAAGCAGCGTCTTGCTAAGCCGCTAAATTGCCCAGGCTGGGCTCCAACTTGATCGTCTCGCCTCAGCCTCCCAGAGTGGTGGGATTGCAGGCACCACACCCCGCTCTTCTCCCCAGTACTGTGCTCGGATGGAGCTGGGTTTTCCCAGACTTCTATTTTGCTGAGGAGGAAACAAAAACCAAGAAAAGAAAGAAGTGACTTGTGCAAAGCTCCGGGGTCAATCCCGAGTCCCCAGAGGGCTTGAGTTCCGGTCAATCTTGGCTCCTTTCGTGTGTGGTGTGTCCATCTAACTCGCCCCTCGAGATCCTCCGATAGGTGGTTTGGGGGGCATTACAGCGCTTCCTGGTGGGGCTTTGGAAGGTGACCGGACTGGGCAGTATAACTCACTTGCTGTCAGAGGTGGGTCGGGGTGGAAGAGGCAGGTTGGCAAAACCCAGAAAAGGGATCTCCCTCTCCAGCTCCTCCTACTGCTTCCTGGACACACCACTAGCAGCCCTCCTCTGCCTTGCCCCTGTGCCTCTTCTGCCCTGGAGCTAGAAGACCACAGATTGAGACTCTACAAACTGTGAGCCAAAATAAACCTCTCCTCCCCAAGCTGTGGGTGTCCAGGATTTTATACCCACAACAAAGAAAAGTGTCTAAGACAAGAGGTTAAGTAAGCAATCTGTTCAAAACTACACAGCGTGGCCAAAATAAACCTACCCTCCTTAAGCTGTGAGTGTCAAGCATTTTATTCTAGCCAACATAGGAAGTATCTAAGTCAAGAGGCTAAGTAAGCAATCTGTTCAAAACTACAGTGTGGCAGTGTCTACCTACAACTCTGGCTTCGGAGGTGAGGCTGCACCAGGTTTTGGACCTAGTATCTGTTGGCATTGCTCCATCCTGGGCTCACGCTGGACATCCTTCCCAGTCCGCTCAGATGGGTGGGAGAATCAGACAGCCCTTGTGGTCGGCCCCCACCTGCCAGGATGGTTCCTATTGCCAATGTCCTAGAAGGCTCATGAGTTTTGTGTTGGCCTTGAAAACAGCCTTCCCGGATAGTTTCAAGGCCAACCTCCCAGTATGGTTCTATCCACTGGCCTGAACAAGACAGCGGGTGGGACTCCGGCCTCCCCTGGGCAACCCAGGGTTCATCTCAGGTGTCCTATGTGAGTCTTCTAAAGCAATCTGGAGAAGTTTCATCATGAGCACCCAGACTTCAGAGGCCTCATATCCTGGTTGCTCATAAAAGGCCATAAACAGCCTCCCAGAGGGCCGCCTGTTTTACTCTGAACATGGTAGCTTATGACCAGCTTTGGAAAATGATCTGTTACAGGTACTGTAAAATGGTGTCCTACAGGGTTTCACGTGGGCTAGACACTAGTTTCCTGGGCTGCGGACTACGGACTTTGCATACTGGCATCCCAGGGTGACCTTATAAAGCCATATAGGCCACACAAAGCCAGCTTCCCAAGGTAGCCTCATATGTTTTGTTCCCTACCTCCCAGGATGGCCGTTGGTTTGGTCTTCAGACACTGGTCTCCTAAGGTAGTCTGTGTGCTCCTTGCAAACTGACCGGGGAGAGGACTTCATGTTGTAGACCATGGGAAACAGCACTCTGAGAGTGGCCTCCCCCTGGCCACATGAAACGGCCTGAGTAATTTTTTTTAATGTAGATTTCTTCAGTGAATCCCTAATACAGCTGACCCTGAATGGGAACTTCAGGCCAAGGGTACAAGTTCTAGTTTTCAAAATGCTTTCAGATCGCCTCTGTGGCTACTTGAAAAGGCCTCCTGATGGGCCTCAGGACTGGTCTTAAAACACAGAGCTCCTACAGGGCCTTGCATGAAGTAACTGGCAGCAGCTGGCCTTGTCAGTCCTGTGGCCTGTCCCCAAGTTCCTAGACCTCTCATAATTTTATCTTTTAAACAGCTGCCACCTCAGACAGACTTTGGGCAAGGAGCCCCAACTGGTTATACAAAACATACTTCCACAGTGCCCTGTGACCTGTTTAAACATCTTGCTTCCTTATAGCCCAGGGCTTACCTGAAGGGCAGGTGAACCTGGATTTTGCCTTAAGTTTTACAAATCAATCTTCCAGGGTTTTTTAATAATAGAGAAAGGACAGCAAGTGTTCTATTTGTTGTGTCCATCATCTCTCCAGGAAGCAGCCCATGGGCACTCCTGTCAGCCATCAGGGGCCTTGGAGGATAAGCTGTGGGAACATTTACTTGTTGGCTCTATGAATAATCTTTCATACAGTTACCCTCACGTGGGCTGGAAGAACCAGCCTTCCCACAAGCAACTACTTGAGCTGGTCCTCCAGCCAGGATGAGGTAGGGGCTCCATGGAACTGCCTTCCAAATGGCCTCACACCCAGGCTTTACGAAACCTACCCACATCCTGATCCAACCAAATGGCTTCTTGACAGTTCCATGGAGCAGTTTCCACAGGGAGGGACCAGTTTGAGCAGCTTGTGGTCTGGCTTTGTTGACTGGCTTCCTGAAACTCCTCACTGAATTGCCTTTTGTAGAAGGCTATATTAACTCATCTTCCAGAGGACAGAGTCAAGATGGGGAAAAAACAGTGCTTCAGTGTACCAGAGACCGCCCTTTCGATTGGTTCCCTAGAGCTCCACATAATGGGGTTTATTGTGAGGTGTATAAATGGTCAGGTATGAGTGGACTAACTATATAACTTATCATTTAAACCAGGATATTATTAATACAAATGCCTGGACAAATAAAAACCTGGGGTCACTCCAGGCAAAATGACCTACAGTCACTCAAGTAGAGGCCATAGGAGAAAGCCTGATGGGCCTGTACCCTCACTTTATAAGGTGCTCTCCCAGAACTTGGTCTTACGAGAATTCTTTTTGGTCAGAGAACGTTTCCTTTTGAAGGGGTGGGAGTGCCAGGCACCAAAGTAGCCTGAGTGGACCTGTGTTCTGCCTTTGCAAACTGGCCTTCAGGTGTCATGGGCACTGGCCTTGTGACATGGGACAGCGCTCAGGGAAAGGTTAGGAGCTGTGTAAGACTCTTCTCAGTAGAGTAAGTCAGCGATCCCTAGAAGCTCCTTATATAAAGGTGTGTTTATTGGTATACAAAATGATCCTGTTTGGAAATGGGAGTCAGGAAAAGACTGCATGAGCTGAGTGGTTCTATCTTGGCTTTACAAGTCAGTCTGAGAGCTTCTTGTGGGATTAACCACAAAGGAGTCAAGTCACAGAACAGCCCAAACAGGCCAGGTCCTGACTTCCTGAATTCACCATCCAGGGTCCACTATGCAACTTAGCTTTTAGTTTGCTGTTAGAACATAGCCCAAATGGGCTCCTGGTGGCTATGATTCAGCCTTCTAGGAAGCTCCTCTTTAGTTATCGTCTTTTTATTTTTTTCGGTACTGGGGATTGAACTCAGGACCTTGTGCTTCCAGTGCAGGCGCAGCATCACTGAGCTACATCCGCAGCCCAGAAATCAGCTCCTTTAAGCACCTCTCCGTGTGGTGTTTAAGCAGGCTGGTGACAGGGCTTCTGGAGAACCCACCACGATCACTAGAGGGTCTCGAGCTGGCTGCACATTGCAGCCAGCGACAGCAAGCGGGTCACAGAAAAGCTTCTTCCCGTGGAGGCTTCCAGGACACCTCGGCCTCTACCTGGCCTCCTGGGAGCAGTCTGGGCACACGGCTGAGTAACGTCTTCAGTCTCACTGCAGGAGGATTCCACATGCACAAGGGCTCTGTAACTACTGCATCGAGGTCTGGACAACGCAGGTACTGTGCCCGTGGCGTGGCTCCAACTCCTGACCACCTCCTGCCACCTAATACTTTTGGGCACGGTGACTCACTCTGCTGGATCACGAGTGTGGCAAAGCGACACCAGTGCTCAGTGACTTCCTATCGGTTGACAGGCACCTGTCCTTGGGGCGGAGGGGCCCGGGACGCGGCCAGGTGCGTGTAGCCCACACCAATCCCCCCCCTCCCCGGCGTCTTCCTAGGGCTGTACTGCTGGGAGCTCGGTATGCGAGGCCCGATGGAACAATCGTTCCAGCACTGGAGCAGGCGAAGGCGAGACCTGTGGCCACGAACACGCCCGTAACTACAGGCGGCAGAGCGTACGTTTCACCGCGACACCTCAGGACGGCGCAGGCGCACGCAAGCTGGGGCGGTGCTGGCCTCGCGCACGCGCAAAACGACCCCCCCACCCCCCGCCCGGACGCACGCTGCGCAAGCCGGGAATTTCCCCAATGGGCCCACAGCGCGCGGAAAGCTGGAGGGCGGCCACGCAAACGGTGTTCGCGGATTCGGGCATTTCCACGGCGCATGCGCAAAGCCCTCCTTTCCCACAGATCTTTAGCGCGACGGCTGCACTGGAGCTCTCTCCCAGCCCAGCCGCTGTATTTCTAAGGAACCTGCCCGGCCTGTGTTTTCGAGTAGCTCAAACTAACCTCTCCAGCGTTTGGACGGGGTCAAGTTGACCCGGGGCTGGCGACAACTTGTTCCGCTTGGTCGCAGCGCGGCGGCTCTCAGCGGTCAGCTTGCGTGAGGAGCATCGATCGCTCGCAGCTCGACTGATCGCGACCAGATGCCTAGAGGAGCGCCGAGCGACCGATGTCTTGGCCCCGCCCCTCCCCGTAAACGGCCTAGAGGGTTTTTCCTTTGGGGTCTCCGTCTGCAAAGATGACTAATTTCGAACGGAAGAAGTTCACACCCACCATTTTATCTAGTTCCAACATGTACGTAGGATTGTAGTTCCCCCAGTTTTACAAAGTGGTAAACAGGCTGAGTGAAATAAAGTGGACGCATACGTTTGGAAAATCACAGATCCAGAATTTGAACCCCCTCGCTGCATCCATGGCCGGTTCCTGGGAAAGGACCTGGGTTTCAATGCGCAGCTGCAGGTAGGTGGCCAGGGAAGTACCAACACCTCCACTTGACGCCAGGAGGTGTGGCGGTCACTGCGAATTTGATTTTTGAGCATGAGCTCCCTGTAAACTCATGTTCAGGGATTTGGAGCACGGCACAGAGGGAGCACAAAGCACTGGCCACCTTGGTACTGGAGACAGAGAGAAGGGAAGGAGATTCATTTACTGGTCACCAGGGTTGTGTCAGGCATTGTCTGGGCCCCTTACACTCCTCAGTCCAATTTAATCGTTTCAATTACCTGTGAGAAGATTGCTGTGTCTATTTAGGGATGAGGAAACTGAGGCTTGCCCAAATGCAACAAATTAGTGTATTTTAGGTACTAAGCTAGCACCCCCTCCTTCCAAAAGGCACTTTAAAAAAAACTAAAATCCTCTGGGAGGCTGAAGCCAGAGGATCAGTTTGAACTCAGTCTGGGAAACTTAGCAAGACTCTGTCTCAAAAAACAAAACAAAACAAAAGAAAGAGATGGGAATATATCTCAGGACAAAGTCCCTGGGTTCAATCCCCAGTAAGGGCGGGGAGTAAGGGGTGCCGCTCACAAAATCATAGCTAGTTGGTATCACAGTTGTTAGATACTAGCTGGCCTGATGGACAAAGGGTGGTCCAAAATAACATGTCTTGCCAGTTATAGTTAAAAAACAAAGATTTACTATCATTTGTTAAGTATCTGACCTAAAGCAGTCCCATGCACATTGCATGCATTCCTTCTCGTATCTGGCCATTTGGTCATCTGTTTCCAAAGCAAGGCATACACCATGGCCCACGTGGAATGGTACTAGGAAAAGGAGCATTCTTTAAAGGCCCTCTCTCCCGAGGCTGAGACTTGACTTAGATTCTTAAGGGAATTAAGGACCTGGAGGGAACACTGACAACCTGAAAGGAGCAAGGAAGACATTTTTGAGATGAGGACATCAGAATGACTCCTAAGAGAAATGCCCATAAGCATATAGATCATGTATGATAATCATCATAGTTCCCTGGGCCCCAAGAATAACTGTTGTGTGCATAAAAATGTTCCCAAACTCACACTGCAGACAGATGTCTTTGCGACATTGCTGACTTTCTCTCCTGAAGCCGTAACTCTGTATCTTCTTTTTTTTATATCTTCATTACAATAAATTCTACCTATACTTCTGCATGGCTGCCACAGGTCTTGGCTGAATTTTTTCATCAAAGGCACAAAGAATCCAGGACCGAGGAGTGAAGGGCTATTCTGTGCTGTGTCAGGACCCAGCTTTCTGGTGATAATAATGATCATTCCTAATTAAAGAGAGAGAAAGTAAAGCAGAGAAACAGTTTTCCGTAACCCACCAAGCTCACTGAGGTGGTGGGCACTGGGCCCAGCAGTCACAGGTTCAAAGTCCACCTGCCTTTGTTCCCTCCATTGTGTGGTGACAGTGTTGAATTTTACCTCAGCATGGACCCTAGAAAACAGTGAAAGTAAGAGGTATTCCTCTCAGTCTTCTTTTTTTGTTGTTGTTGTTGTTCCAGAATACAGCTTTCCACAAAACCACTCTTCCCAGCAAGACAGATAAGACTCAGGGACAGGCAACCCTTTGATGATGACAAGGTCAGACACAGACTCTCCCAATCCCCGTGCTTTGTCTCATAAGTGATCAGCTAAACTGCTTGTCCCCAAAGATCAGAACAAAACGCTTAGGAACGGAGCTTTGGCTAAGCCTCTCCTTCCTGTAGACCCCTGAACATTGGCCTACCCTCAGCCCCAACCAGTGCACAGCCCTTCTGGAGAGCAGCCCTGCCTCAGGGTGAACTGTCTGTGACTTCTCTCCCATCATACCACCCTCTCCTCCCACTTCCTGCTCTTTGTTTTTTTTTGGTGCCGGGGATGGAACTCGGGTCCCTGCGCTTGCGAGGCAGGCGGCGGAACCACTGAGCTAAATCCCGGCCCTTCACTTCCTGCTCTTGCTAGCCTTGCTTTTCCCTCCATACAGGAGAAAAGCTCTTTGCCTAACCCTCAGGGTGTTTGCAGATCTTGTGGACACAGGTCCTCTCTCTTGCAGTACTGTTTCTCCCCTGAAACTAGAGCCCCTTTCTTCCTTGCAATAACCCTTTCAACTAAAACTCTCTCTTCACTATGTCTGAATTTGATTTTTATTTGATAGTTGACAGTCAATTATTATACAATGACTACCGTAGGTGGGCACTAAGCCCCTAGTTGCCCAGACCCATAACAAGGGCCAAAGGAAATTTGGATCTAAGCCCCCTAATACCAGAAGTCCTCTTCCAGTGATCAGGAATGGAATTCTGGCTGTTAGCTGTGAGCAGAGAGTGCTGCAGCCAGAGAGAGAAAAACATTCCTTTTGCCAGTTTGATTTTTGTTTTTAGTTTTGGTTTTTTTGGTGCTGGGGAGTGAACCCAGGACCTCACACATGCTAAACAGCTCTACAACCCCAGCCTGGTTTGTGTTTTTCCAAACTGGCTTGTTGAGGTAAATTACAGGCAAATGTGAAATGTTTTCTTAAAAGGAGCATAGATTATCACCATGGAATTTCACTTCCTGTCGTCTCATTTCCAGCCCCTTCTCTGCCCTTATTCCCAGCAGCTTTGGAAATGGCCATTAAGCTGACAGACCCATCTGAGTGTTGTGAAAAGCACTAAGAAGACAAAAGCCATCATTTATGCCCGTATTGGTGATTTTTCTCCATTAGATCAGAAGCCTGTAATTTAGATATGCCCAAGTGTGCTGGGAACATTTGTGGCTCAATTATCAAATTTATTTAAAATATACACATACAAACAAAACTCCAGACTTGAAAACAACATTTAGCTCAACCATAGAAGAAGAGACATTTAATTTACCCTAGTTGCATAGAAAGGAGAGTGATAACTCTTCCACATCCTGGCCCTTTTACTGATGCCACCAGGACCTTCTGTTGTGTGATGCAGGCCCAGTCACTTGCTGATTCAGGCCTTCATCCCGCCTTCAGCATGTGATCCTCACCTCCTCAGCAGGGACCTAGTGAGCCTAAAATGTCCTGTGTGGAGACTCAGAACAAAAGACAAGGTGTCTTATTGAATGGCTTCTCTACAGCACAAGTCAAAAATCCTGACAGCAGGTCTGGCTGACTAGATCTCTGATCCTCACTCCTTTCTCCTTCTGCAGGTTTGCAGGAAGGACTAAGCAGCTGAGCGCCCCAAGTCACACGGCCTTGTCCTGCTGTCCCAGAATCGATGTTTCCAGCCTCCCAGACGCCTGGTGGTGATGACAGTCATCCTTCCTGCTCTGTCTAAGATTCCTGGAAGGCAGTGTGGAATCGCTTAAAATAACAGGTTCTCGGATGCCTCCTATGGAGGTTTTGATTCACTGGTTCTGGGCAGGCCCAGGATTCTGCATTTTCACTAACTTTACAGAAAACTCAGAGGTGGGTGGCAGCCACACTTAGGAAACCCAGCCCTGGGGCATGAAGACTGGAAAGCTGGCACTAGGGGACCTGAGGTCAGGCCTGGAGCCCCTCATCCGGGGCTGAGTGCTATCTCCTGCTGCAGCAAGGCCTTCTCTTTAATGCCGCTCTGGTTCGTACCCAGAACCACCACCCGGGCCACAGCCCACGCTAAGCTCCCAGTGAAGACAGGCTCAACCATTAGCTCCCTGACATGTGATGTGCTTCTGCCTGCCCTTCACTGAGCCCCTGAAGACATTCTCCTAATCCCGTGGAGGCTATGGATCTTGTCTGGTCTCTGTCCTCTGCACCCCTCCCCGTGATAGGACCTGTTGCTCTGTACTCATTCATTCAAACCATCCTGAAATTCAACAGTTCAGAGCAATGAAGGTACAGATCACCCAGGTGGTCAGGCTTGACTGGTCTTGGTGGGGCTTGCTCATGAGACTGGCCTCGTTCCCGTGTCTGGTGGTCAGCTAGTTGTCTGCTAGGGCACTGGGATGACTGGAGTACAACCCAGTTGTCATCCAGCATGCTAGCCCGGTCTTATTCATGTGACAGAGTCAGAATTTCAGGGAGGGAACAGGAGCTGCCAGCTTAACTCCCAAGTGACACAATTCACTTCAATTGGCTAAATCAAGTTCATGAGCCATGTTAGCTTTCCAGAAAGAAACCTGACATTGGCTTATGGTTTCAGAGGTTTCAGTTGATGACTGTCTTAGTTACTTTTCTCATTGCTGAGACAAAAATACCTGACATCCAAAGTTAAAGGAGGAAAGGTTTATTTAGCTCACAGTTTTTAGAGGTTTCAGTCCATAATTGGCAGGCTCCAAGGGAGAGTGGCATGGCAGAGGGCTGTCACAGAGAAGAAACTGTTCATGGTAGGCAGAAGGTAGCAAAGCAAGCAAGCAAGGGACAAGACAAGCCTCTTTCTGTCCGTTATATCGAATCCAGGCGACCAGGATTAGGATGGTGCAAACTAATCAGTGGACTGATTTAGTAATCACCCACCCTTACTCCTAGCACCTTAATCCTAGCATTGCGCCATGAACCAATCACATACTCTAGATCCAGCCACCTCTGACACAGCCACACCTGTGACTGCATGGGGCTTTGGGGGGACACCTAGACACAGCTGTAATGATGATCAACTGGCCTTGTTGCTTTTGGGCCTGTGGAGAGGCAGTGTGTCATGAGAGAGAGTGAGAGGGGGGAAGAGGAAGGACCAGGTCCCATATCCCTCTGCACGGGACCTCTGGCCTTTGCTGGAATTTCCAGGAGATCAATGTCTGTTGGTTCCCATTTGCTCACCCTACCTGCAGGGGCTTAGATGACACTCATCAGAACCTCTTCATTAAGGCGGATCAGTCAGGGATTACATTAAAAGATCTGGATTTTTTATTTGATTTTAAAGTCCAGTAGCTTGTCTTTGCCTGTGCTGTTTCCCCAGATACCAGTTAGGGGTATAAATCTAGTGAAAAGGGGCTCCTCAGACCTCTGTGTTCGAGGGGTGCTCTTCACAGCAGCACGTGGGAAGTGGCTCAGGAGAGGCCCCCAACCTTCATCAAGAGGGATGGGATGGAGCATTGCTCAAACCCAGCCCCGGAGCCCGGTGCGTGCTGACTAGTGAGGAATTGGGTCTTGGCACAGAGGTTGCATGTTGGAAATTGCTGAAATATTCATGTGCTTGGCTGTGTCTCTTCCAATTAGATGTAATAAATGTGGATTTGGTGGCCATATGTTTTGTTTTGATGTAATGGGTTTAACCTTTATAGAGTGTGAGCTTGTGTGTGCGCGCACGTGTGTGTAGTTTCTCAGTTCTCTAAGGCTGGCCCGACTTGAGGTAAGCTGCTATTTTAAGATGCACCGTGATTACCTTATTATTAGAGGCTCCTCTTGGGATTGAAAGAACAGGCAGTGTTAGCTTATTAGCTTTATAGCTGGAATTCTACTGCTGTCATTTATTTCTCCCCTCCACCCCCGCCATCCCTTCCCATCCCTTCTCTTCCTTTCTTGAGTGAGTAAATTGATCTCTCTTAAGTCCCAGTTTCCTCACCTGGAAACTAGGGATGACAATACCTATTTGATAAGAAGTTTCCTGAGAAGCAAAAAAGATGGCAAATGTGATTCATGCAGCACCAACTATGGCACATGACGAGTGTTCAGTAAATGATAGTTATTACATGATCAGATGTGTGTCTTCCAGCAGACTACTAGCCCTTTCAGAGGCAGTGTTTCCATGTGGAAAACATGGAAACAGCATTCCTGGAAACACCAGGTCGCTGTGATATCTGAAGGAGAGTGTTCCAGTTCAAACATGAAGTGTCCCCCAAGACTCAAGTATTGAGGGCTTGATCACTCAGCTCAGCGGTGCTCAGAGGTGGGGCTAGAGAGGTGACTGGATCATGCAGACACTGATTAATCCATGGACTGTCTGATGATGAGTTCATAGCTGAGAGGACAATCAGGAGATGGGGCTGGAGGGTCACTGGGTCTTTGATTGGTGTATCCTGTCCGCAGCCCCTTCCTCTTTCTGGTTCTCTTGCTCTTTTTCTGCTTCCTGGCTGCCATGAGGTGAGCAGCTTTGCTCCACTGTGCCCTTCTCCATGATGTTCCTGCCTTGGAGCCAACAGACTGTGAACTGAAACCTCTGGAACCATGAGCCAAAATAAGTCTCTCCTCTTTGAAGCTGTGTATGTCAGGTGTCTTATCCCAGCCATGCAAAGCTGACCAATACAGAAATAATTAGATGTTTTTATTATGTGCTCAGTGAATGAACAATGAATGATGAATTCTGAAACTTATCATGTATCATTTAGAGTAAAATCCCTACAGTTACAAACTACCCAGAACTTCTGTGGCCCGATGTATTAAGTTGATTTTGCCTCCCATTGCACTGGGACACATACAGACAGGAGGCTCTGCTCCATCTAGGGGTTCAGGGACCCACAGTTTTTTCATCTGAGGCTCCACCGCCTCCTGTAGGGGCCTTAAAGTCCTCTTTCTCCAGCACACAGATGGGGAAGGACCGTGGCAGAGCTTAGGAGGAGGTCTCACGGGCCAGGACTAGCAATGTCACTTCTGTCCTATTCCGTTGGCCTCTCAAAACATTCCTGACCCCAGGGAAAGCAGGGAGATGCGGTCTAGCTGTGTGCCCAGCACTGTGCTCTGGATCAAGGTTTCCAGGAACCACAAAATGGGCAAGAACTGCTTCTGAGGCTGAAAATAATAATGAACAAATCTAATCAGATGTCATAAGCAGGTGTAAGAGGCAGGTAGGGTTGGAGGAAGAGACAGGGAGAAGAAAGTGCCCAACAGAGAGGGAGCCTTGCCTCTCTTGGAGGTCTGGAGCCCCGAATGTCACATCCACAAAGGGGGGCTGCCTGTCTTCCTTCCCTCTGCCCTTGTCCCTTTGCTCCTGTGGAATCCATTAGTGAGCTCCGCCATTGTCTTTCTGATTTCATTAAAATGCCACCAAGACACATTCTCTGCAGCATGCCACTTCAGTCCTAAGTGGGGCATTTTTTGCTAGATGAATCGATGTTTTAAATGACAGCATCTGTTTGCTTGTACACATTTATTTATAATTCTTCCCTTGGCAATTAGCAAGGGGAAATTGGTGAGCGGGTAACCAGCTGTCGGAATTAGCAGGCCAGGAGGCAGCGATGTAATCTGTGAAGGAGCAGACGCCCTGGGCAGAAGCCCTGAAGACGGAACAGGGCCCTGAGGTACCCAGCCCCGGGGAGGACGTGTAAATCTCAAGTTACTGGCCCCCGAGAAATGGCAAACGAGCAGGGTGCTCCCAAGAACCCGGGAGAGCCAGTGGCTGCGTCTGCTCCCCAGAATTCAAGGAGACTGATGGTTCTGGGGGGTCGCTGGCAGGAGTGAGATGGCCCCAGGCAAGGTCCTTACTGAACATGGCCCCTGCAACCCCCCAGCCTCCTCCTGTCCTCACTGAGGTTCCAGCCCTGCTGCTCCTGGAACATGTGAAGGCCTCTGAGCCTGCGATGTCCCCTGCATGGCGCTCTTCCCCCCAGTCTCCTGTCTGTGTTTTTAATTTTATGTATTTTTTGAGATTGTCTCACTATGTAGCCCAGGCTGGCCTTGAACTATATAGCTCATGGCGATCCTCTTGCCTCAGCCTCTCAAGTGCTAGGATAACAGGCGTGTACCACCACACATGGATTTGTGCTGCTAACTTCTTCACCTCTTTCAAATCCAAGTTCAAATGCCACTTCTCGGAATCTCCTATTTAACACTGTGACTCCCCGCCTCAAACGCTCAATTCTCATCTTCTCTTCCTTGGTCTCCATTTCCCCCTAACACTTGCAGTCTTTCCAATCCAACATAGACTATTGTTACTACACTGACCTTCTGCCTCTTCCATCGAAGCCTCATCTGGAGGAACCTCATCTGTCTTGTTCACTGCTGAACCGTTCTGGGCACACAGTAGGTGCTCAGTAAATATTTGCTGAATCAGTGCATGTTTTCACCTATGGGAACACCTTGTCCTCTTTGGTCCTCAGCTCTGAAACTTGAGGGATACATAGAGCCTGGGTCACTGAGGGCGGCTCCCTGGGGACACCAACCTCATGTTCCTGATCACTGTAGCTCCCCAGGACCTATGCCACTGCCTGGCACAAAGTAGGTATGCAGTGAATATTTGGTTGGATAAAGAGATGACTGAAGGACCCAGGTTGACACTCAACAGTGGGTGGCTCTTTATCCCTCACATTTCACGGGAAGTCACCTCTCCAGAGAGAGCTTCCCTGTCCACTCCATCCAAGGTGGGGATCCGGTTTCCCTCCACACCCACTGCAGAGAGATGGGATGGGAGCAGTGGCCTGAGTCCCCTTCAGTACCTCTGCGTTAGTGCCCCAAAGCTGCACC